AAACCCAGAAAAAAAGCTAAGAAACAGGAATGGGAGTAAGGAGGGGTGACGACACACTGTCTTTCATTATAAGCCTCATACTATTGACTTTTTAAATTTTTAACTTTTTGAGATTAGAGTCATATGCAGTTGTAAGAAATGATACAGAAACATCGCCAACAGTAACATCTTGCTAAATTAAAGTGCAGCACCACACCATGTCATCCACATTGATACTGTCAATACACATTTCCATCACTGCAAGGATTCCTCTGTTCCCCTTGTACGTTCACATCCACAGAACTCACATCCTGGCCCCTCGGCCTCTCGGCCCCTGGCACCCACAAATCTGTTCTCCATTCCCGTAATTTTGTCATTTCAAGAATGTTCTATAATTGGAATAATTTGTAATCTCTTGGGGTTATGTTTTTTCACTCAGCAGTGTACCCTGAAGATTCATCAAGGTCATTGCATGTATCGGTAGTTTGTTCCTTTTTGTTGCTCAGTAGTATTCCATGGTGTGGATATATCACAGATTGTTTAACCGTTTATCTGCTAAAGAACATCTGGGTTGTTTCCAGGTTTTAGCTGTTAAAATGAAGCTACTATAAAACATTCAGGTACAGGTTTTTTGTGTGAACGTAAGTTGTCAGTTCTCTTGGGATAGATGCCAAGGAATGTGTTTGATGGGCTATGTGGTGGTTGTATGTTTAGTTTGTTTTGTTTTGTTTTTAAGAAACTGCCAGTGTTTTTCCAGAGTGGCTGTACCATTTTACATCCCCACCAGCAATGTATACATGGTCCATTTTCTCTGCAATCCCGCCAGCATGCAATGCTGTCAGTATTTTTTATTTCACCCCTTCTGATAGGTGTGTAGTGGTATCTCATCGTGATTGTAATTTGCATTTTTCTAATGGCTGATGATGTTGAACATATTTTCATGTACTTGTCATCTGTATATCCTTTCCAGTGAAATGTCTCTTCATGTCTTTTGCCCATTTCATAATTGATTTAGGGTTTTTTTATTGTTGAGTTTTAAGAATTTTTTATGTATTATAGATACCAGTCCTTATCAGATATGTTGCTTGCAAATATTTTCTCTCAGTCTGTAACTTATTGTTTCATCCTCCTAATAGTCTTTCACAGAGCAAACATTTTAATTTTTATGAAATCCAGTTTATCAATTTTTCCATTTTTGGATTATGCTTTTGGTGTCAAGCCTAAGAACTTCTTGCTTAATCCTAGATCCCAAAGATTTTTTCCAAAAATTTTATAGTTTTAGGTTTTGTAAGTCTGTGATTCATTTTTATTTTGTGTGTCTGAGACGCATTTTTAGTTAATTTTTGTATAAGGTGTCTTAGCTTTTCTAGTTTGCCTTTCCACATAAATTTTAGGATAATCTTATTTTTATCTACAAATAACTCTTACCGAGATTTTTTATAGGAATTGCATTAAACCTGTATATCAGTCTGGAGAGAACTGACATCTCTGCTATGTTGAGTATGCCAATCCACGAGCACATGGCATGTTTCTCCATTTATTTGGATTTTCTTTGGTTTATTTCATCAACATTTTGTAGTTTTACACATACACGTCCTATACATGTTTTGCTAGATTTACACCTAATTGTTTCTTTAAGGGATTGTAAATCGTACTGCATTTTAATTTCAGTGTCCACATGTTCATTGCTTATAATAAAATTACAACTGACATTTGTATGTGAGTCTTGTATTCAGTGATCTCACTGGACTCAGTTATTAGTTCTAGAAGGTTTTTTTTTATCCATTCCTTGGAATTTTCTATGTAGACAGTCATGTCATCTGCAAATAGAGGCTGTTTTATTTCTTCCTTTCCAATCTGTATGCCTTTTATTACCTTTTCTTATGTTATTACACTGGCTAGAATTTTTAGCATTAGGTTTAGTGAGTAGTGAGAGCAGACATCCTTGACTTGGTCCCGATCTTAGGTGGAAAGCTTTCAGTTTTTCACCATTAAGTATGTTAGTTGTAGGTTTTCTGTAGATGCTCATTAAGTTGAGGAAGCTCCCTTCTATTCCTATTTTTCTGAGTTTTTATCATAAATGGGTATTGGATTTTGTCACATGCTATGTCCGCATCAATTTTACGATGTTTCCTCTTTAGTCTGATAATGTGGTTGCATTGATTGATTTTCAAATATTGAACCAGTCTGGCATTCCTAGGAAAAATGCCACTTGGTCATGGTGTGTAATTATTTTTATGTTGCTGAATTCTATTTCATAATATTTGAAGGAATTTTTTGCATATATATTCATGAGGGATATTGGTCTGTAGTTTTTTACTTTTTGTATTGTTTTTGTCTGGTTTTGTATTCAGTTAAGGGTAGCTTCATAAAATAAATTGGTTAGTATTCTCTTCTATTTTCTGGAAAACTGTGGTAATTAATAGTAATTTTTCTTCCTTTGATAGAATCTCCAATGGAACCACCTGGGACTAGAGATTTCTTTTCGGGGATTTTTCAATTAATTCAATTGTCTTAAGAGCTATAGAGCTATTCAAATTATCTACTTCATATTGCATGAATTGTGGTAGCTTGTTTTTCAAAAAATGGTCAATTTCATCTAATTTGTCAAGTTTATGTGTATAAATTTGTTTGAAGTATTCCTTTATCTTTTTGATGGCTACAGAGTCTGCAGTGATATCCCATTTCATTCTCTATATTGGTAATTTGTGTCTTCTCTTTTTTTGTTGGAGGTTTGTCGATTTTACTGATCTTTCCAAAGAGCCAGATCTTTGTTTCATTGGTTTTCCTCTTTCTCTTGTTTCAATTTTATAGATTTCTGCTCTAACTTGATTTCTTTCCTCTGCTCACTTTGAGTTTGTCTAGGTATTTGAAGTGGAAACTTATTGATTTGAGATTTTCCATCTATTTTAATGTTTCTAATTAGTGCTATAAGTTTCCCTTTTAACACTGCTTTGGCTGTATTCCACAAATGTTATGTTTTATTTTCATTTCTCATTCAGTTTAGTGGATTTTTAAAAAATTTCCCTTGAGACTTCTTTGACCCATGGCTAATTTAGAAGTATGTCGTTTATGTTATTCTAAGTGTTTGGAGATTTTCCTTATCTATTTTTGATTTCTGCTTTGAATCTACTGTAGTTGAAGAATACTCTGTATGATTTCAATTCTTTTGAATTTGTTTTGGGTCTATCCAAGATATGGTGTATCTTGGTATATATGTTGTGTTTGCACTTGAAAAGCATATGTATGTTGGATGTCTTACATGTCAATTAGATTGTATTGGTTGATGGTGTTCTTGAATTCTTTGATATCCTTGATGATTTTATGTTTAGTTGATCAATTGTTCAAAGGAGTGTGTTGAAGTCCCCAACTACAGTTGTGGATTTATTTCTCCATTCAGTTCTATCACTTTTTGCTTCCCATACAGCTCTGTTGTTTGGTGTATACACATTTAGATTATGTCTTCTTGATGGATTGACCTTTTTATCGTTCTCTCTCTCTCTGGTATTTTTCTTTGCTCTAAAATTTACTTTATCTTATATACTCCTGCTTTTCTTTACTATTTACCTGATACGTATTTTTCCATACTTTTTCTTTCAGCTTGCCTATATTATTGTTTTAAGTAAGTTTCTTATAGATAGTATACAGTTGGGTCTTATTTTTTAATCCATTCTGCCAATATCTTTTAATTGGTATATTTAGACCATTTATATTTAATGTGATTATTGCCATTAAAGCTTGTCTGCCATTTTTTATTCTTGTTTTTTTGCTTTTCTTCCTGCTTCATTGTGAATTACTTGAACATTTTTTAGAATTCCATTTTGATTTATCTATAGTATTTCTGAGTTTATCTCTTTTAATAACTTTTTCAGTAGTTTTAAATATTTCTTCTGTGTATATTTAGAATCGCCTTAGGCAGTGATATAATTTTACTTCAACTATCAAAAATAATTTAGGAAACTCACCCATATTTTTGTTTACTATCTCTTTAATTTCTTCTAGTATCCTGACTTTTCTTCTTTTATCATTTCCTTTCTGTTTAGAGTACTTCCTTTAACCACTTTTTTAGGGTAGGTCTGCTAGTAACAAATTCCTTGGTCTCCCTGAATCCATCCCAACCATCTAAGACCAAGTGGTGGCCCAACAGGACTACATCAAAATATAGATGCCACCCCCAAAACAGGGCCCAAACGAAAAGAATTAATTCTTTTAGAAAAGGCTGAGGGGAAAGGGCACTGCAATTTATCACAGTGAGAAGATGGCGGTGGGAAGGGTTTGAAGGGAAGTTGGGAATGCCCTAACTTTTGAGGTTACCATTGATGGGAGTTGTGATAAGGTAGGAGATGGAAAAAAACACAAAGAATCAAGGGTAAAAGGAGAGGGCAGAGAGAGAATACATACAAGAATACATACAACTGCCCTTTCTTCTGAAGTGCTCCACAAAGGAATGTTTGTTTCTCCCAACAGAATACCAATCTACTATGCTCTTCAAGTTCTAGCCTAAAATATTGTAAACTTTTTGTCAGGTGAGAACGAGTTTCTCAGCCTCATAAACATCTCTGGAACTCACACCAGCAAGATCATTAGGAAGATATTAATTTGGTGATGCTTTTTACAAGCCATTGCCATAGAATCACCTTACCTGACACATACCTCTCACGCTGACCCGTTTCATACAGGAGGCAGCTGGGGGGGAAGTAGCTTTCCTTAATCCTTAGACGCGAAATGACAGGGTCTCCAATCTCCAATTTCTGTCTCTCCTTTAAGCATCTTCATTCTCATAATCCTCTGGCACCTACATCTTCTCTAACCACCATGACTCCCATCTCTCCTTTTAGAATTGAAAAAAGAATGGGGAGTGTTCTTCCATTGTCATATTCTCAAATGCTGTATTTCCCATTTCAATGGTCACAGAACAATAAAGGAAAATGCTGTCTTCAAGTCTGAGAATTCTCTAAGTGATTTGGAACTCTTTCCAGAGTTAAAACATCCACAAGCTTAAGAAAAAGAATGAGCCCATAATTATTTAATTGGCTTTCTCTTTTAATCAAAAACATACTTTGTTACAGAGTTCTCAGGAAAGGTTTAACTATTTTTTTAGCCACAGACTTCAACCAGGCAAAAGTATACAGAAAGCCACAAAGAACTACCACAACTTTAGCTGACCAGTTTTCCCAAAGCTAAGTGTGGCTCTTCTCCGGTTTTTATCATAGCTGCATTCCTCGGAGTTCAGCGGAGTTGACAGAGTTGGGAAATACCACGACCAAATCTGTCCTAACCCCCAGTCACTTCATCCAAATGGTTCTGCAGCCCCCCAGGGTTTCATCATCTACAAGCATACACACGTTTCCCTTACATCACATGCCCCAGGCATTGGCCAGAACCCAGTACCTGGAGGAAGTTTGCTGACTCCATGTTTAGCCTCTTAACCAATCCAAGCCCATGAGTCCTTCTATCAATGACAAGCAGCCAGAGCAACAGCAGCTGGTTTCATCACTTCCTCTCCAGCCGCCACAGAGCTGGCCTCTACCAGGACTCCCCAGCCCCCCACCCTCAACCCAACCCCAAGGAAGGCTCTCAATGGCCTTGAAAAAGCCAAGTTTATTAATTACACTCATCCAAGGATAGGCTGGAAGAGAACTCTGAAAGGCATGCTCCAGCCCAAAGTCTTCCAGTCAAAATAGACCTAAAAAGAGCCAAGAATAAAATGAATAATCATCCACTGGTATTGTTTTTTTTAGTTACAGAAACCATTTTAATTGATGCAGTTGAAAGGAATTTCCATTTTGAACATAGAAGAGTTAAGAAACCAAAGACCCAAAGTAATGATCTCTAATGTCATTAAGCATTTACAATTAGTTTTCAATCCATTTTAGTTGGGAAAAAAAAGAAAAATCACCAGCACACAGCACTTAAGGGGACCGTGTCACATCCCTACCCAAAAGGGGGAATGTCATGACTCAAAAAAAGCCTTATTAAACCTTTAAGAGAGTTGATGGAAAACTAAAACGAAGGCTTTTCCCCCTTTCAGGGTTTTTTTGTTGTTGTTGTTTAAGTATTTATTGCAGCCCCCAAGGTGGTGCTAGGTCTTTGGTTAAATTCATGTCTTAAGGACATATTATGTAACTTCTTGTCCATAGGAGAATAGTAATAAAATACCAAGCCTAGTCTCATTTGAATAACGTGGAAATAAGTAAAAAGCCCCCTCAAACAGCAGAGCAAAGGTAAGGAAGAAATCAAAAACTGCTGCAAGATAGGCAAGGTCACTTACATTTCAGAGCTGGAAGAACGCTCGTCCAACTCCTTCATTTTACAGATGAGGCAACTGAGGCCCAAAGAAAGTACACGACTTGCCCAAGGTCATACAGCAAACTAGTGGCAGAGTGCAAACTAGAGAGTACAACTGGCTCCAGCCCGGAGCCACTAGTTTCAGGCTGAACAAGAACACGGGCTCTGACATCTACTGAGAAAGCATCTTCAATAAACTGGAAACTATCCACATCGTTAGAGAGAAATGATTGTCTTCACCCATTTTCTCCTCAGTCCTTCCTACAGTTAAAAAAGAAAGGGGGGGGGAGTAATTCATTCATTCAAGTCTGATGCTAAAACCCCTGAAAACATCAGCAACTACTTTAGCTACTCCTTGGGGAAGGATATCAGACCCTCAATTCTCATAAAGGCACCTACAGGTCAAAAATATCTGTAGAGGAAGAAGGCCAGATCATTGGACTCAAAAGGAGACACCAAAATGAAACAAAAATCAAAAAAGACCCTCTCGTTTTCTAAGGTTTTTAGTTTTTGTTTGTTTGCTTCTTGCTGGTGTCCCCTAAGCAATGGTATTGCCTCTGGCTATTGATACTAATTTACTACCCCTTATAACTCCAATTTTTACGTGAGCAGCACTCAATGGAAGCAACGAAACCTTTCAAAATCTTGCAAAGGAGGAAAATATGAATATGACTCGCTTCTCTCTACCTCAACTGCCTGACACTCAGCAAAGAATCAGGAAGCACTCCGCAGTCAAAGGCCGAAGCCCGGAAGTCCTGTTCAGTACTTTACAGGAGAGTTTCTCGGGTCCTCCCCCAGTTTGCCCTTGTGTGTCAAAGAAAGTTCTAGTAAGTTTGGTTATCTGGTTTCCTTGCCCAGGCAGCTAGAAAAACTGAATCAGAAAGGGAAGGAGGAGATACTAAAGGGAGATACACTACCAACACACAGAAAGTGGCCACCGTCAGAAGGGAGAAGGCTGGGGCGGGTGTGTAAAAACCCGAAACATTTAAAACCATAGCAGTCGGCAACCCTTTAGTAAAGGTGAAACTGCGTGTCTAAGCCACCCCTAACGTGGACAGACAGCTTGGCACAAAAAGAAACATTCTACCCAGTACATTCTCTGACATACACATTAAATAACTCCATCAAAGAAATGGCTACAACAAAAGTTTTACTGCTTAAATAAGGTAGGTCTGGATTATGCAGAAAATTCCATTCCACAGTGACACCAGATAGATAAGCAACCTAGCAACGCTGGGACAAGGCTGAGCCTGAGGATGCTGCCATGAATAAGGCCACTAGCTTTTTACATCTTCCATATCTAGCAGTCAGGAAAAAATGGGAAGGCTTGAACAGAAGTTTCTCATAGCCTATTTTCCATAATCTTGTAAGGGGGGATTTTAGGCAATTTACAGGCAGCCATCTGCAATAAGGTGGGTTCTGCCTTTGGAAAGAAAAGACTTTCTTTATTCTATTATCTGCTAGTCTTAGCCAAGCTCCATCTACAGAAGAGTTGTTAACTGACTTTACAGGTATTTGCTTTCATATACTCATTTACCTCAATGACCTAAAATTTACCATTTTCTCAATTTGCTATCATTAAATAAAATGCCAGTAAAATGACTTAATGATAAAGGGGGAAAACTATAAAAACTACCAACAAAAAGGATTCTACCCAGCTCAGAAAAAAATTGCTTCTTCCAAAAGGCTCTCAGAAACGATGTGAGCTAATCTGATTTTGCATAATAGCTAATGAGTAACTTTAAATTAACCAGGTACCACCGAACCAGGAATAAAAATATTTCACCTTATATTCTTACTCTTTATCCTTCACAGATAGTAAAGGAACAAACACATAGGGAAAGTGTAAAATTTCCCTTCTCCAGGTGGACACAATCAAAAAGGTAATTGCAATAAACTTTTAAAATATTTATTATCTGGAAGACAGGGCATTGTATTTTGCCTTCAAATTTTTTATTACAAATACTGCCCTTTACACCACACCCTTCCCCACAAAAATGGATTTTTAAGTTTGAAACACAACACAACTAATATGTGTTCAGTTTGCTTGAATGTTTGGCTATCCTTCAGCCAGACCACCGAATCTGTAAACCTACCCTGGTTACAGGAGGAATGGGATAGGCGACCTATTTAGTGGTTAGGCCAATTCAAATGAGCCATACTTCTTGAAAAACAAGGTTATATGGCAATGATTTATTATCATTATCTTTGTATACCAGGTGTAGTACAGTTTAAAAATGAGATAGACTATATCCCACGGAAGAATCTACTCCCTGGAAAATGAAGGCAACACCATTACGGGTTGCCTTTGATAATGCACAGAAAGGCACTGGACAAAAGCGGAATGGGCCTCATGCTGGGTTATAAAGGTTCACACTTGGTTCATCTCTCACTGAAATTCAACCTTCTGAGCATCTCTGAGATACAAACTAGCGAGAGAAAACCCACCCAGAATCATATCCTCATTAATAATCAGATTCCGAGAACTGCAGAAAGTCTTCTACCCTTAAAGTAGCCACAAATTTTAAACCCAGTGATTCTTTACTCTTATTCATCAAAGATGACTACCTTTAAAAAATGGAATATCATTTAACAACTAAGCTCTCAGAAATATCTGATCTTAACACACTAGGTGTTTTCTGAAAAGCATGTGACTGCATCTAGGTACAAATACAAAAGAATTAATAACTAGAAGTACTTGTATGTACTTTTTAGTAATTTTATGGCTCTTAGCAGAAAGAAACCAAGACAGGTGGCCTCAAAGACAGACTTCTTAGCAAATATTTTCCACATACTTTCCCCAGATGATTCAACATGAAAACCCTCCTTAAAGTAGAAAAGGAGGCAATAGATTATATCATAGCATGCTTATGGTTCTAACAAATAAACTGGATTCTAAAAATCAGTCATTCTAAAACTCTCTCCTCTCATTCCTATTCATTCACAGTAAAATGGACCTAAAGTCAATAATTTCTAAAGAATAAAGGTAGCTTTTCAAAAATCTGCCAATAAAACTTAAATCACCAAACTTCTACAGATTAAAATGAGGTTTTTAACGAAGTATTTGTAAGTACTCAAGAGTATGAATGAGCTGGTAGAGAAGTTATTTTAAAAACAAAAGACATGAAGCCGGATCAAGAGCTATGTTTCAATCACAGCAATAAGCAAACTCAGTGGTTTCTAGCATGGTCATAAGACAGCCTTCTGAACGAGGAGGCTAAAGGTTTGTTCATCTAAGTGGGTATAAGGACGACTGCCATGCATAAGTGCTTCTCGTATCTCAAACTGCCCTCCAAGCAAAGTAAAAGCATCTGGAAGATAATTTTATTTCACACTATTTATCCTGTAGACAACCTACTTATTTTTGCTACAGTAAAATAAAAGTTCAAAAAATAACTACACTTGATACGTAATGTCCGTGGGGAAGTCCCAGTAGAGTGGGAGGGAAAAAACCAAAGCTGCAATACTGGCTGTTGCCTGTCATTTAGTAGAAGGTGTCTCACCACTGAGGTTGGACTCAAAAGTGCAAAAGAAAAAAAAAAACACCTTAAAAATCAAACCTAGAATTCAACTTTGTATGTTGAGATTCGGTTTTATTTATGCTACTAGCTAAGTAAAAAGCATACATATTGTGTCTGTGGTACAGTCAATACATTTGCAATTTTTCTACTTAAATTCTCTATACAAAGTCACTGCCAACTGATATGATCATTGATGGCAAAGGGCTTAGAATAACCAAAAGGTATAAAAAGTTTGCAGTCTTGCCCCAAGATACAAAAACTGAATTTTAAACAATGTCATAACATACATGATTTAAACAGTATATGAAAAGAAAGTCACACATCAAATCAAGTACAAAAATATCCAAACTACCTATTATGAACTGTAATGTTTCCATTATTCTGCACAATATTTAACATAGAATTTAGCAGTTTCCAAAATACTCATCATTTAGTTTAAGCATTGCCACCTTTGTAGAACGGTGAGATATTAGGTGGAGTGACACTGCTTTTAGTGTTTTTTAAAAATACAAAACCTTTCCCTATGAATTAATGAAGGAAAGAAATTCTTCTTCTAGGCTTCTTAGTAACCAACCTCGTGCCTAGAAATATAGAAGAATACATCTACTGTTTAACAGGGCAAAAGTATACTACTTGATAAACAGTTATCCAACAGGGATAACAAATGTAATTTTAAATGGTATTTGTCTGGTAATTTTAAGGAATTCGCAGTATACACACAGAGATTAGTGTTTTGCCTTGGCAGAAATAAAATTGAAGTCACAAGACAATCGGAATTGAAATCATCTTCACTAGTTTAACTTGCAAAAAAAATATTTTGGATAAAAGGTTATAATACATTACTATCTTATTTTTTAAACACAGAGTAAAGTTGCTCTTGGTAAAATTAACTCACCCACATGGCACAATACTTTGGAGTAAAGTGTGTTCAACAGTAACAACTTGCACACAAAATAACAAAGGTGAATTAACTTCGAGAACTTCTCTGCCTTTAAAATCAGCAATATTTAATTTATTCTGTAGAATAACACACATACTGATGTTCTGCATAGAAAAGGGTCTAAGACGGTTTAAAGGGCTATGTTTTCCAGCATTGGAATGATTCCTTCATACATAACTGGTGACGATTTAATAAGAATGTGTTTTTCCTGATCTTCAAGCTCTGAGCCATGCCTAAAAAGTCCTAAATAGGAAAAAAAAAATGTTTTAATCCAGTTTCTGTCTGCTAGGAGCAAGGCAGCAAACCTATTTTTCAACCCTTTATGAAAAAGATAAAGCAGAACAAAAGTGAAATATATCTTCAGATTATAAACAGGATTGTATTTCATAGTCCACCATCCTGATCATGAATGTCAAGGGCCCCAGCAGTGAAAGACCTCAGTCTAACGGCTGTGGGTCGGCAATAGGCATGGTGTGAAGCACTTCATCCAAGAGCTGGAGGGCCCGGTGTAAGTGAATCTCAATCCAGCACGGCGTTTCTTTGATGCTCTGTCTTGGGTAATCCGGTCCCCAGCCTTTCACAAAACTCATCCTGAGTATGCACAGGCGACGAAGGTCATCGACACCGATTCCAGCAGCAGCTGACAAACCTAACGGAAAAGATTTGGAAGACGTCAGAAGGACAGGCTGATCTCTTCCTATCCTCCCTACATCTTACATTAATAAAGTGACCAGCTTTCTTTACTTCACTCTCCCCAGCATATAACTTCTGTCAAAGTGCCAAGAAGTAAGCACAGATCTAAACTTTATCAATGGGGACTGAAAACTTCTGGTTAAGACAATTTACATTCCACATGGCTCTTCTAGCTCCCACCAATTATAAAGTAAATTACTACAATCTAACAACACCCCACCAATTTTTCTCTTTAGAAGTGGAGGTGAAGGGATAAGGAAACTTTTTACGAGGTAGTGCATGCCCACAGGATGGTCCTAAGAACCTTCTTATCTGTCTAAACAGCCTAGTTCAGAGTTAGACATGACTAAGAATGAGATAGTTAACAGGCCTGGTTCCAAATGATGTCTGTCTCTCAATTTCACAAGGTAACAAAGATATGCAATTACTCAATGGGGCAGTAGATGAGAATGAGAAATTTAATAGTTCTGGCTTCTTTAGTAAAAGCATGTTTATAATATCAAAACTAGCAAATAAATGGTTTAGATGCCCAAATTATTTTTAAAAACTCAAGTTCTGTACATGAATATGCCTTATCTACCTCTACATTGTAAACTCCTGAATGTAAGTCACACGGAGACTCTGCATCTACTTTTCCAGTCAGAACATACAGTCATATAGTCCATCTGCATTCATCAATATTACAATGAAACTAATGGGAGGAATTTGCATGTACTGTAGAGAAACCTGCAGGGCCACTGCAGGTTTCTTAGCCAGTGTGATTTGCTTACCACACTGAAGAGGTTAAGAACAGGGGTTGAATGAATCACTAGTTATGCCTTCAGACGTGGAAGATGGGTGCCACGTGTTTCCATCATAAAAGTCTATAGTCAGGAGTTTAACTCTGCAGTAAAAAATTCCCCATCAGTGTGAAACCTGGCACACAGTTCAATTTTACCCTAAAATTAAAAAAAAGTCTACAAGTTATCAAAATACCACCCTCACTTAGTTTTCTCTCCATGCTTAGCATACATAAAAAAATTTAAAAACTGGAGGTGCCTAATGCTCAAATTGAAATACGCTTTCAATTTTCTAGAATTAAGCCAAGCATGTTGGTGATAACAACCCACCCTGGCTGGTGAGGCAGGAATTAAAAGCATTAACAAAAAAAGGGGAGACGGCCAATAATATAACAATAACCCCTTTTCTTCTTTATCCCATGACTCCCTTTTTGATACAAAAAGAATGAAAACAGGGTCCTAGTCAAAGGGCAGCTATTACAGAGGAACAGCTTTTTACAAGTTCAAAAATGTCATTATCCCAGTAAAGAGAACTTTAATTTCTATTACTGCTTAAAGTAATTAAGCAAATGAGTGAATAAAGATAAAACGCCAACTATTACACTTAAAAGAAACATAAACGAAAGCATACTTACTGATAGCTGGAGCTATTCCACCTACTGACCCCGGGCCAGGGATGTTTCCTGCCACGGCTGCTGCCTGGGCCGCTGCTGCAGCTTGCGCAGTGGCAGCCTGCTGCTGCATCTGACGATGACACTGACGCAAATCAAAGACCTTTTAAAAAAAAGTGTAAGTTTAATGCCATGAGTCCATCAGAAAATATTCCATACATTAAAACTAATGCACACTTTATTTAAAACTTACAGCTTCATTTAGCTCTCAGAAGAAAATAATTACAAATTTTAATTTTTTATGTCTATTGTAACTGGTAGTTAGGAAAGGTGGCTTGGAGCTCACCAAGAGGCACATTTTACCATCAGGACAGCTGTGGCTACCACATGCCACTGTATCCTTTATCTAGTTCAGTGTGGGTCAGCCATTATTGTCCCTGCAAAAACCACCCATTTGTGTAAAATAATCAGTTGAGAAATCACCCCACCCTTTCAAACCAAATCGCTGAGAGTTTTCTTTAGGCTGAATTGATCACCTTTGTCATATGGCTAACTTCTTTATCATTCTAGGTATTTGGAGTTTAATAAATGGCATTGTCACTATATAAGCACACATCTGCAGTTTTTTAGAGATGCATGCTTCACCACATACGAGCAAAAAAAAAATGCTATCTAGGCTTGTTTTAAAATACTTAAAACACAAAGAAAATGCATTTAAACTCGATTTAAAAGGAAAGATAAAAAGGGTAGATTAAGCAAATACAAAATTTACTGAATCTCAGTGACGGATAATGGGGTTTCATTAAACTAGTTTCTCTTCAGTTTTCTGTATGTTTTAAAAAATGCTCATCATTAAAAAAAGCTTAGCTTTGAATATTATCACTGACATCTACTAATTACATGGGTTCTTTACTAACCTCTCTGGAACCTCAATGTTCTCATCTATGAAATGGGAATGCTAAGTGGGAATGCTATGCTTTTTCATAGGGTTGTTGTAAACTTGGCATAGTATATAGTATGTTGTCAATAACTGTTACTTATTTTGTTTTTGGTCTCCCTTGGGGCCATTTTCCTTTCAGGATGAGTTAAGGAGTTCATAAGTAACTTCAGTGTTCTTTATCAGCCATGCCAAGGGCTGGTATAGGAAGGAAGGGGTTGCCACTTTTATCCTTATCCTCATGCAAGTATAGGAATGTTCTTTCAGTAAGCAAACAATTATGGATGATAAATCACATCACCTTTTTTATAGGCAAAAACAAACTTCCTATAATAATTTATTTGCTTATATCTGCATTTGAAAAGCAGTAGAAGATTACACAAGCAGAGTGGCCGTATACAGAAGTTGTAGAAAAGGAAGGAAGACAAGGACAGAAGCAAGGTTGCGCAAAGCAAACTTGTCATACTTTAATTTCTGAACCATGTGACCATATTCTTTATTCAGATAGTAAATAAATTAAATTTTAAAAAATCCTCCAAGTATGCTCAAAACCCAAATATGAGCAAGCATAATTATCCCTGACAATAAAATAAAATCAAAGAATAAATAACATAATATTTCATCAGGTAAACAACAGGTTTGGGACCTAAACCATTAGTTTTCAGATACCTGAAAACTTCTGATTCTCTTTAACCATGAACTGCATTCACATGAACCGTAAGAGCATACAATAAACAAAACAACCCTCTCCAAAGAGCAAATTATATTCCTATTTACTTATTTCTCTACTCAATGCCTATCTTCTACCATCAATGAAAGGCAAAACTTCGACCATCGTATTCTATAAAGAGATACGAATTTGCCAAATATATATGTATGTATTACCTGGGCAAACGATTAGTCCTAAAAGACTTCAGGACAGAAAGCGTAACAAAATCATGTCTGGAAATCAGAAATCCCATGCCCTGAACAGAAACCACTATTTTTTTTTTCAAGGTTTCCCAAAAGTCCATTAAATTCTGAATCTTTCCATTGGGCTATGACCTCTTGGAAGACATTACCTAGCATAACACAAAGCAGAGACTTAAATATTTGAAAAGCCGAATAGCTCTACAACCACTTTCTTTAAAAAGAAAATTAATAAACTTTACTTTTTTTTTTTTTTTTTCTCAGCTGAGCCATCCTGCCACCTGTTGGCAGCTCAGCTGGGATCAGGAATCGAATCGGCGACGCTGCTGCTCAGAGCTTGCACTCTTGAGTGAGTGTTTAACCAACTGAGCCACTTGTCCGGCCCTTAAACTTTACTTTTTAGACCCGTTTTAGGTTCATGGTAAAATTGAGCAGAAAGGAAAGAGAGTTCCCTGTCCCTACTCAAGCACAGCCTCCCCCACCGTCAACAAGCCACACTTGATGGTCCACTCATTACCATCCAGGAAGGAACCTACGCTGCCATGCCATCATCGCCCAAAATCATCGTGAGGGTAAGGCTTCCCACCTGCTTTCACACAGTCTACGGATCTGGACTAGTGTGGAACGGCAGGTGTCTAACACACAGAGCAGTTTCACTGCCCTACAAGTCCTCTGTGCCCTGTCTATGCATTCTCCCTCCCTCTTTATCACTGGAAGCCACTGATCTTCTTACTGTCACCATAGTTTTGCCTTTTCCAGAATGTCATAGAGTTGAAATCATACAGTATGTAGCCTTTTTCAGACTGGCTTCTTTCACTTAGTAATATACAATAGGTTCCTCCATGTCTTTTCATGGTTTAATAGCTCATTTCTTTTTAGTGCTGTTAATATTCCATTGTCTGGATGTACCAGTTTATTCATCCATTTAACTGCTGAAGGACTTCTTGACTGCTTCCAAGTTTTCGCAATTATGGATAAAGCTATTAAAACATCCATGTGCAGGTTGTTGTGTGGACTTAAGTTTCTAGTTCACTTGGGTAAATACCACGAGCACAACTGCTGGATGGTATGGTAAGAGCATGTTTAGCTATGTAAGAAACTCCCAAACTGTTTTCCAAAGTGGCTGTGCCATTCTGCGTTCCCACCAGCAGTGATGAAGCTCCTGTTGCTCCACATCCTCGCCAGCATCTGGTGGTGTCAGTGTTCTGGGATTTGGCCATTCTCATATGTGTAATAGTATCTTATTGTTGTTTTAATTTGCAATTCCCTAATGACATATGATGTTGAATGTATTTTCATATGCCTACTTGCTATGTGTATCTTCTTCAATGAGGTGTTTATTTGGGTCTTCTGCCCATTTTTAAACAGGCTGTTTGTTTTCTAATTGTTCAGTTTTAGGTTTTCTATACTTTAGGTAACAGTCCTTTATCAGATGTGTCTTTTGGAAATATTTTCCCCCAGTCTGTGGCTTATTTTCTCATTCTCTTGACATTGTCTTCCACAGAGCAGGAGTTTTAAATTTTAATGAAGTCCAGCCTATTGATTGTTTCTTTCACGGATCGTGCCTTTGGTGTTGTGTCTAAAAAGTCATCACTATACCCAAGGTTGTCTAGGTTTTCTCCTATGCTATCTTTTAGGAGTTTTATAGTTGTGTTTTACAATTAGGTCTTTACAACCACTTAAAACTTTTTAAACCATCACTAACCAAGTATGGCACATATATAATCTTTTTATCTGGGAGTAGGGAGTAAAATTTATGTATAAATTCCCAGGGCTCACATATGCTCTCAAACTATAATGAGTCATTAAAAATAACCAACAGATCTTTACACATAGGTTCTTTACAATGTTGTAAACAATTGCAATGGTGATTGTCTTAGGCTAAATCTATGCTAACAGCAGCACATATTATAGGTAACCACAAAAATGAAATTTTAAAACATTGTGACTTTTATAGCAGATGTAGCAAAAAAAATGATTAAGCACCTCAGTAAGCCTTCCTTCCACAGTGGATTATTCATGTAATTACAGTGCTCAAACCAGAGGATGTGTGATTACTGGCTCCACTGCTAACTGAAGCCTGGGTTGCCTCCTGGCTGTGTACTATTTCTGACTCACTGTACCATATAGATTTCAGCTGTTATACTGGGTGGTAAAATTAAGGTCAATAATGAAATGCAGCCACCTTCCTTTCAGAATTTGACTAAGTTGCTGTTGAAGACAATTCAAAGTGACCAAAAATTTTAAATATTCTTTTTGACTCAGATCCAGGTAATATTTTTGATCACCACTCCTGAGCTAATCACAACTTACCTCTATTTTTATTTATTTAAACATGTTTCCTGTGGTTACTCTCATGTAAGTTTACTAAAAACCTTTTACCTAACACAGATGAATGTCATATAAAGATCATTGTCAACATCTTTAGGATATTGTCTTTCAACCAGGAGTCAAATTTTGGCATTTTTCTTTCCTAAGACTTAATTATAATACTCTTGGTCTGAATTAACATCAAGACCTAGTAATCCAGAAAGAGAAACAGATGGCTGTGTTGGTATACTGGGCATCTGAACATACGACTGCATTAAGGATTTGCTAAGTTACCTGACCTGGAGGTAAAAATCACAATATATAACTGGGAATAAATTTAAGTAGGGATCATAATAACCTTCAACCTAGCCCACCTGTGGTTTAGAAGCATCCACTACTCCCTCTTCCCCTAACATGTATGCGTTCAAAAACAAACCTGACTCAACATCATCAGAGAAATGCATATCAAAGACCACCACAATGAGATAACACTTCACACCCACTGGGATGGGTAAAATTGAAAGGACAGATAAAAAGTCAATACTTGCTTCCTCCACAAGTAAGACTATAGAGGAAATTGGGACCTTAACACACTGCCCATGGGGATGTAAATGGCGCAGCCACTTTAGAAAGCAGTCTGGCAGTCCCTCCAAGTTTCACAGAATTACCTTACGATCCAGCAATTCCGCTCCTAGGTATATATCCAAGAGAAATGAAGACATGCAGTCACACAAAAACGTATACACGAATGTTCATAGCAGTATTGTCTATAATACAGCCAAAGTAGAAACCCATACGTGCATCAACTGATGAGTGGATAAATAAAATGTGATATATGGAATATTATTCAACCATAAAAAGGAATGAAATACACATATATGCCACATGGATGAAGCTTGAAAATATTATGCTTAGTGAAAGAAGTCACAGAAGACCACATGGCATGATTCCATTTATATGAAATGTTCTGAATAGGCAAATCTACACTGAGAGAAAGATTAGTGGTTGTCTAGGGCTGGAGGAAATGGGGGTTTGAGGGTGATAGCTAAGGGTACAAGGTTTCTTTCTGGGGTGATAAAAATGTTCTAAAAATGATTGTGGTAATGGCTGCATAACTGTGAATATGCTAAAAGTCACTGAACTGTACACTTTAAATAGATAATATAGTATGTGAATTTTATCTCAATATCTCAATAAGGCTGTTTTTAAAAACGTGAATGCCTAGTGCTATGCAACACTAAATGAAACATATCCTACCCACTTTTTTTTTTTAAGATTTTATTGAGGAATTGGGGGAGGGGAACAGACAAGTTGCTGTCCTTTTGTTCTTCAGTCTAGTTGTGGAGGGCATCGTTTCACTGGCCCATGTTGGTATTATCATTGCGCTCTTCCCAGGTGAGGCAGGAGCTCGCCAGCCATTGGACGGCTGCTCACAGCAGCTCACGAAAGCTCACGCCAGCTGCCCACCAGCCCCACTGCAGCCTACACCATCACCAGCGACTCACGGCAGCCCAGCTCCAGGTCGAGCTGTTGTTCACCATCCAGGTCGAGCTGTTGTTCACCATCTTAGCTGTAGAGGGCGCAGCGTGTCACTGGTCCTAATGTGGGATCTGAACCAGGGCCCTGTTGCTCAGAGCTGGCATCCCAAGCAAACTCCTAACCAACGCACCACTCAGCCAGCCCCTACCCATTTTTTAAAGCAAAAGAACAAGGCCACTAAAACAGAATTCAAACATTTGTTTCATTTAAAGCTTGTAAAATGCCATTTCATTAAATCGGATTTTCATAAATATAAGATGACTGCAGTATAATGAGAAGCAGGAGAAAAATCAACATCGTAGAAGAAAAAAAACACACACAATCTAGGTCTAGCTTCTTGGCTTATAAAATGAAAAAAATGGCTTTCCAAACCTGTTTTCCTCAGTTTAATTAAAAACGAGAAAATGTGTCTGTGCATATGTGTTGGGGGTGGGAGGTATATTCCCAATGTACACTCCTTCCAGGGGTTCATGTTATCTGCATACAATTCACCCCAGTAATACCTCTGGTGAGAACATATCAGATCCTTTAGATACTCCTGGCCTAAAACTTAGCAAATGAAGAAAACGCCAATGTTAGATTTAGGGTTTACCTGCATCTCTTTCTTTGTGGCTTATAAGAAGACTCTTCTAAAGAACAATAATATACTTGGTAAACAGAAATTTTTTTTTAATCTTAAACAGTTAATATGACAAAAATGAGACATATTTACTCCACTACAATGGCCCACAAAATAGTCCTTTACTGTTCATGGGGAAAGCCTGAGATTATTGTAAAAATCTATCTGTATCAGTGGTTTACCAAATAATGACATGTCTCATCTCTTGGGGGCTTTTCAAGGGTCATTTGTTCCAAAGTAGAAATGTTACACTTATTTGACAATCCTAGAAATTACTTTAATTACACAGGATTCCACACTTTTGAAGCTCAAATGTTTTAAATACTACTCCATATCTGGTAAGTTTGTAACTACTGTCTGACACATACTGGGTTGTCGGAAAAGTCATGACGCAGTTTTGCAATGCATAACAGAAAAAAAAGTCATGACTTTTCCAACAACCCAATAGTATATATTCAACACTGTGGTGCACTATCCGTTCACTTCAAATTACATAAGTAATCAGAGACTTCCAGTCAAGATGGATGAGTAGGTATGCATAACCACATTCTCTCTCTGCTCCAAACATATACAAAAGAGAGAAAAACTATTAAAAATGGATATCCTCCAAGCCAATTCACATGGAAATGCAAGAGGGTGGCAAGAGCCAAAACAACCCCGAAAAAGAACAAAGCTGGAGAACGCACACTTCCCAAGTTCAAAACATACTACAAATCTACAATAATCAATGTGGAGTAGTACTGTCATAGGATATACAGATCAATGAAATAGAACTGAGAAACCTTTACATTTAAGGTCAGCTGAATTTCAACAAGGGTGTCAAGATAATTCGATATGGGAAAGAACAGTTTTCAACAAATGGCTGCTGCAACAACTGAATATTCTCATGCAAAAGAATGAAGCTGGATCAGTTTCCTTACACTATATACAAAAATTGACTCAAAATGGATCATAGACCTAAATGTAAGAGTTAAAACTAAAATCCTTAGAAAAAAACACAGGAGTAAATCTTTATGACTTTGGATTTGACAGTGGTTTATAAGATATGGCACCAAAAGCACAAACAGCCAAAGAATAAACTGGACTATCAAAATTAACTTTTGTGCTGCAAATCATATCAAGAAAGTGAAAGACAAGCCAAAAAAATGGAAAAAAATATTCATAAGTTATGTATCTGATAAGGGACTGATACCCAGAATATATAAAGAACTTACACCTAAATAACAAAAAGACAACCTAATTAAAAAATGGGCAAAAGATCTGAACAGACATTTCTCCAAAGAAGATATATAAATGGCCAATAAACACATGAAAAGATGCTCAATATTATTAGCCATTAGGGAAATGCAGATCAAAACCACAATGAGATACCACTTCACATCCACTAGGATGGCATAATAAAAAAGACAGATAATAACAAGTATTGATGAGAATACAGAGAAATTGAACCCCTCATATACTGGGTTGTCAGAAAAGTCATGACGTATTTTTTCTATATTTTTTGTTGCAATACATTGCTGGTGGAAATGTAAAATAACATCGCCACTTTGGAAAATATTCTGGCAGTCCCACAAAAAGTTAAACAGAGAGTTACTTTTGATCCAGCAATTCTACCTCCTAGGTATAGATCCAAGAAAATGAAAACATATATCGACCTAAAAACTTGCATGTGAATATTCATAGCATTATTCATAATAGCCAAAAAGTGGAAACAACCCATATGTCCATCAACTGATAATGGATAAACAAAACCCACACTGGAGAGCAAGAACTAAGACAAGAGGTACTTGAGGTACCAGTTCCAAAAACAGAAGGTGTACAGGACAGGAATTCAACTTGTTAAGAGTAATAGGGAAAGAGACAATAGCCAAACTCTCAGGGCTAACAACTGGGCACCTACCTGCTCATGAATCGAGTGCTGGTAAAATACCTTGACAGCTAATTCAGAAATGAACCTAGGAGTAAAGCTCTTGTCCGTGGCAGAGGTAAGCATCAGAAAAAGCTATGCCACAGGAATCAGGCCCTGAGCATACCTGGGGGTTGGAACTCAGTTTCCTCAAGGGACAAAATTCCTCTACCTCCTAAATAAAAGAATGGATTCTGAGATGTGGATCCCTGGATGCCAGATTAAGGCAAATTGCTCTATAGGAAGAAGCAACGATAGAGAGGAAAAAACAAAAAATAAAATGAATATAATTCTCTCACAGCAAACTTGCCAACAAATATAGATTACAAAGCATATAAGAAAATCCAACACCATTTAAAAATAACAACAAAGCACAAATAACTAAAATTCCTTGTGGAAAAACTGGAAAATACAGACAAAAGTAATTCCACCTCCCAGAGAGGTAAGACACTGTACAGACCATTCTAGACTTGTGGATACACACACACACACACACACACACACACACACACACACACACAAATACAAATATCCATGAAGTGTTTTGTTTTGTTTTTAACAAAAAGGGGGTCATACTCTAGGTATTGTTTAGTAACCAAATTTTCCACACCAGGATATCTTACAATAAATATAATTTAATATTTTATTGTTCTATTCTATTTCATTGTTATAAAAGATCAAAACTATAAATGGTCCTCTATTGTCAAAACTTTTAACAGGGAATTACCATTATTTTATTAGGTATGATAAATAGCATTGTAATTGTTTTCTAGATGTATTTATAAATTGGAAACTCACACCAGAGTATTGGGTCGTCGGGAAAGTCATGACATATTTTTCTGGGTTTTTTTTCAATGCAAAAATGCGTCATGACTTTCCCGACAACCCAATATTTTATGAGTGAAATACTATACTGTTTGGAATTGGCTTTAATTATTACAGGAAAAAATGTAGAGAAAGAAAGAAACACATTAAAAATTGGTAAAATGCTGACAACTGGTAAAGCTAGATGATTGATAAACTGGGGTTATTTTCTCTATACTTGATATATTTGAATGTTTCATTTTTTAAAAAGATCCCTTATCTTTTAACTGACCTATGGTGACTGAAAATGAGATACTGAATTTGTTATTTTGAGGTAATCAAGTAATTACATTTTTCTAGACACTATTTGGCTATATTATTTGTATGCTAAGCAATTTTTTTGGGAATAAGTAATGAAGTACAGTTAATTTCACTAATTTACAATAGCTAACAATGAAGACGCTTAGGATGACGGAAAAATCTGAAATTAAAAATATATTTAGGCTATCCAATTAAACTATCTTTTTCTTTCAAACAGTGTATAACTAAAATTAAAATGAGTTGAATGTTATAATTAATGAAAAGTACCCTAGGCTTAATTTGTAAAATGATACAGTGAATAAAACTCATTTAATGCACAAAATAACTAATCTTAAAAAATCTGGTGAAGAATTTTTCATTTCTCAGGTTCTTAATTTGAAAAGCTATTAATTTTAGAATTCCCTTCCATAAAATCCTGAAGATTGCTAAGATGAATTTCAAATTTTTACGCATCTTATAACAAAGGAATATGAGTTTGGAGGTTTCACTCAATATTTTCAAGAGCCTGTGTACTACTCTAAAACATTTAATAAATTTGCTAATCACATAATAGGGCATGAATGCAACCACAAAACTAGATAACCAGTCATGTCGATGAATGTCCCCAGGAAATGTGTTTTATATATAAACATAATTCCTGGTATTTAATACATAAAAATACATTTTTCTACTCCTCTCACTTCCATCTTAATTCTTTAAACAACAAAAAGAGCTTTCCAAGTCCAAAATATTTGAATAAAACTTCTACTAACCTTTATATAAGCACTTGGGTAGATCTTATGAACAGCATCTCCAGGTGCACGCCCAGCTTCTCTGTCTAAGTAGTAACTCTGTACAAAGACTGCATGGTCGCTAAGGCACCTGACCCAGACATCACCTTCACCTTTACATTCCAACTGCACACCTTTGCCTATGTGCAACCTTAGGAAGAAAAAGGGAATTATATTTCGTTTTGGTAAGTATTTAAAAATAAGTATTGGTTCAGATTATATAGCATACCCAATACTGAAAAATTAAAAAGAGGAAGAAAAGGACTTTTACATAGCACCATAACCAAAAGATAGCCATTGTTAACATTTTTGTATATTTCCTTCTTTCAATATCTTATTCATATATAAGATGAGCACATATATATAATGCTTACTATGTGTCGGAAACATCTAACACAAATTCTCACTGAACCATCAAAAGTCAATGAGCTAAATATACTATTATTCCCATTTTATAAATGATGAAACTAAGGCTTATAGCTACATTGTCAAAATCAATAGCCACTAGGTACAAGTGGCTACTTAAATTAATTAAAAGTAATAATTTAAAAAGTCAGTTAATCACATGACCATATTTTAAGTGCTCAACAGCTACATGTGGCTAGTGACTACTATACTGGACAACACAAATATGAACCATTTCCTTCATCACAGAAAATTCCATTAGACAGCACTGGCTTAGAGAGTAGGTAATTTGCCCAAGTCACACATCTAGTGATAAAGCCAAGATTACATATTTACACACACACATATTTTCTTAAAGAGATTACAAAGTACCTAAAATTGTGTATGTTTTCCTATAATAGCTCATCTTAGGCATTTACATGTGATTATATAAACTTTTTATAAACATTTAATGACATAAAAATGAAAGTTTATTGAAATTCACTTAATCATTTCCCTTTTATTATCAGTTTTCCAACATTATAAATAACACTTGCAGAAACATGTCTTCATTTTATATTATTTCCTTTCAATAGATTTGTAAAAATAATTACGATCAGAGAGACCAAAAACTAGTTTTCAAATTGGATTCCAAAAAGCCTAGTTACTATTCAAAACATAGAAACCTCACTAATTTTAAAAAAAGACTATCTTTTATATTTTAAATAATAATCACCTACAATTAAAATGGAATGTTTATAGATTCTGAATTTTCAAGATGACCTTTATTCTTTTATTAAATTCAAAAACTCATATAATCTACACTGAAAAAATATAACTGAATAAAAGACAATGTACTATGTTCAATTTTTAAAATAACTATACAATCGATACCTTGCTCTCTCAATGGCTTCTGTCCTGTGGACATTGGACAGTTGACCCAAGCAAAAGCGATCTCCTCCAGAAGGGTCCACGTATCCATCAACAGTAACAATAGGGCAGCTTGAAGGAACCTTAAATGTCTCTCCTACTTGGACATCCATTTCAAAGTAAGCGATGGAACACCAATACTCAGGAGCTATGGGAGATAAATGGGAGTGAATATCACTCTGTAAGACAAAGCTTTTCCTAAAAGAAAGGGTGAAGGGACGAAGGGACAGGAGAAGCTTCCGAAAAGCACCCAAAAGAATTTGATTAAAATGACAATGCATTAAAAAGTAGGCATTTTCATGTCTTCTATTTTTCAGCTCAGTCCCTAGCATCTTGAAACTCGAGAGTCATTTTTAAAATCTATAAATTGGTTCTTACCGCAAAGGACCCAGTCAAGTGAAAATTTAACAAATGGCAGTAATCAGAACCTAAATTTTACCGTGATGTTTCATTTGACTGCACATATTTTCTATGTAGTCTGTCTGAACTTTTATTTTTTTAAAGCACACTGATTCTAAGACATATTCCAGGGAAGTCTTTTGAAAACATCAATCCATGGCATATTTTTCTAGATCCCTAATTGAAAGAAAGGACTTAAGTAAGAAGGGTCATCCAGACCAGAGTCAAGGTTAATTGCACTCCAACTATACAGTCACTGTGAGTAGAAATTCTCAATTTTCTCTTGGGTGAAAGGTGATTTTTAGTGAAGTCAATTAATGTTTACTACAATTTTAACTTTGAAAATGTATTTAATGTATTCATTTGAACAATAAATGATTTAAAATAATTTTAAATGACTGGGAGGAAAAGGAGGCACAACTTGATTTGGTTTGTCAAGTTTTCTGCTGATAAACCAATTATTTACCTGCATCTTCAATGTGCCATTTATGAACTTTGATTCAACTAGAATTTGAGGCAATAAAACTTTCAACAATCTCAAAAGACTTACAATGACAAAAAAATATATAGATCTTTTCAAATCCCAAAAAAAATCTTAAAATGAAATAGGATTAATGTTTAAAATACACTTTTAAAAATCCCTGTAAAGTCTATGTATCTAACTGATTTTCAAAATTTTGTCAAGGAAGAAAGTACTTTCCAACAAAGAATGAAATAGACCATGAGGATTCGGTTATTCAATAACAAAATTCCAAAGGTTTGCCACCCAGGTCAAATCAACAAATCATGAATACAAACATTCCTTTAAATGTTTTTGATTATCATTAGAACATGGAAATTAGTGATATACTAAAGTGCCTTATTAAAAAGCCAGTTTTGAAATATTTGTGAAGTTAGTCCTTATAGCAGAATTCTTTATTAAAGATATCACATAATGCTATGAACAAGAAGCTTCCACAAGCAACTGGCAGGTATACTGATAGAAGTTAAAAACTAAAGAGGTTATCTAGGAATAGGTATCAATTACCCAACGTTTTGGCAGCAAAAACCAGTAACAGCACTTAAAAGAGGTCTTTACACAATCAATCCAAACAGTAAACTCTGCTACAAACAATGCCCTGAAGTCATGAACGTTTACAATGCTGAGTAAAAAATGAGGTCCAAGTACATGCCTTTCCTAGTTAGTTCGCACTGAAGGACACTATCCGAAAGCAAAGTTTCATGAAGAACAACCTTTTTTCCATGAGAGTCAATTCAGGAGGGAAAAAGGAGTTGTATAATCTCCATGTTTACATAAGAAAAATATACTTTATCATCATGAATTGCAACTGCATTTAACCTTATTTTATTATTTCCCAGTCACCAAGGGTTTTTTTTGTTTGCCTAATATTTGAGACACCATACAACAATGACGGTTACATAAAACCTGTATCTCTGAATATGTTTAGAATGAGATGACCTGTTAGCACCAGAAAGAAGAGTTTTAAGAGACTTGCGGATAAAAAGAAACTGGCATCAGTTTCCCCACAGACCAGGTATGAAAAATCACCATCTATTAAGACGCTATTAAAATGGCCTAGGAAAGAAGAGGAAGGAGTTACTATCTGTGAGGACAGAGAGGCTAGGGGCTAGAGGGGTTTCGAGAGAACTTGGCAGTGTTGGGATACAAAACACCATGTGAAAAACTTTTCTATTCCACTCTAAATTTGCTAACCAGCCAAGAGGGAACATTCTTACTTTTAAAACAGAAAAAGATAATAGAAATTCATTAAGTTCATTAAGCCTTTCTGGATCTCTCTTTGTTCTTTTGCTCCAAGGCCCAAATGCCATATAAGTGACAAGCCTGCACCTTCTCTCAAAACTAGCATCAACAGCAGGACAAAATTATTCAGTTCAGAGAGAGCTTTCCTAATGCCCCAACTCATTTGAAAGGGAGTGGGACTGTTACTTGCTTGCTGACGTTGATAGTTTTAATTTCTTCTTCCTAAATTAATGAAGTTGAGCTAATCTCATGAAGCACATTGGCTGCTCCTCACTGCCCAAAGGTTTTCAAAGACTGAGTTAACAACAAGACATTTTCTAACAATGTACGAACTTAGCTAAAAGTGTTCTGTAATGGGGAAATGTATTATAAAGCCCAGTTTTATCAAATAAACGTTGTTCAGTTATATTGGAGAATGTAAGTCTCCAAGGCATTATCTTCAGTTTCTGAAATAAAGTCATCCAAAAAATTTTTTTAAATTTGATTAACTTTTTTAAAAGTTAAAAATTTGCATAAGGCACTTAAGAGACTATGACATTCTTTTTATTATTTAGACCTGGATGAGATGCCCTATGAGAATCTTTTATTTTTTCCTATAAGAATCTTATATGAACACATAAAGGTGCTCTCTTGGATGGTAGATAGTTCCAAAGTACTAGAACACAATGTGAATTTGGAAATTTGTGGATTTCGAATCCATTTGTGTATCACCAAAATAACCTCAAAGACACTGAGGAAACTCCTCATTTTAATTTGCAATCAGTATTTAATTAGATGAATATATCTTGGCTTTAAGAAAAAGCAAAAAAACAGAGTTAGTCCATAAAAAAAGAAATGAAGGTGGGGAAGAGATGAGACAACATAAATTGGTAACTACAATATTGCCTCAGGGATAGAAAAGACAGTCTGGGGAATATAATCAATAATGTTGTAAATATTTTTTAGGGGGCCGGATGGACTCATGTCTTGTTAGGGAAACTACTTCATGGACGGTGTAGAGGCCTGACCACTGCACTGTACATCTGAAGCTGCCATTGAATAATATTATATGTCAACTACAACTGAATATATATATATAGTCACGAGATGTGGAGTACAGGTTGGGAATGGAATCAATGGAATTGTAATAGAGATGTATGATATCGGGGG